AAAAGGTTATAGGGCCACTGTTTTTTTTTATTATTGACTTATTTGGTTAGTCAGGAATAAAATTCTCACTAAGTGATCTAAATATTATAAATTAAACTTTTACACGAAAAAAAACCAAAGAAGCTTAAAATCGTCTAAAATAGCTTTGATCTATCTCGAGTTGGTTTTCATGGTCCATTTTATACAAAATATTACTCCCTTATAAATAATTTTGTTCCCAATCCATGTTTTAATAGATCTAAATCATGTATTTTATTATAACCCCTTTAAAACGTCAGATTAAAACTATAAATTACTTTCTATAGGATCAAGTAGTTTTCAACATAACGATGTGTTTGAGGTTGAATGAGTAATCAAGATTTTAATATGGGTTACCCATATTTTGCTACTCGCCCTGTAAACCACGGAATGTTAAAATATTTTGACCTAATTTTGAATCAGCCTTGTCATAACTGGTACAATGCGAATGAAATTGATTTGAGTGAGATTTACTTGCAAGTAATATTTTCGTACATATTCATATTATAAAAGTTTTGTGGGGGCCAGTTTGTTAGTGTTACGTGGTCGTTAGGCGTTTTAAGATACTTCATTATTATGTAATTATTTTACTTTTTTTAATTTATAAGAATGAATCAGTGGCGCTACAACCTCTGTAGGGCCTCAGATTTCTGAATCTGTCTCATGATCATTTTCCAATCTAATACGCAAGTAGGTGATCAACTTCCTGTGCCTGACACACGCCGTCGACTTTTTGTGTCTAAGACATGTCGGTTTCCTCACGATGTTTTCCTTCACCGTTCGAGCTAATTTAATGCGCACATAGAAAGTCCATTGGTGCACAGCCGGGGATCGAACCCACGACCTCAGGGATGAGAGTCGCACGCTGAAGTCACTTGGCCAATACTGCATTATAAATCTATTATTTATGATAACACTTTTTTTATTTAATATACTAGCGGCTAATAATAGCGGTTTAATATTCAGGCTATTGGGATATTATACAAAGTCTGAATACCGACTACAGCGCCATCTGCCGGGCTGATTTGTGAATCTAAACCATCCGGGGCGCCACCCAAACACATACAAAAAAATTCATTTAAATCGTTCCAGCCGTTTAAGAGGAGTTCAGTGACATACACTACGTACAGTAGAATTGTATATAAAACTAGTGGACCCCACAGACGTTGTCCTGCATGATATTTAAAGCGATTAGGATATTAAGCAAAGTATGAAAGTACCGACTGCAGTGCCATCTGCCGGGCTGATTTGCGAATCTGAACCATTCCCAGATCCCCTTGAACACACACAAAAAATTTCATCAAAATCGGTCCAGTCGTTTGAGAGAAGTTCAGTGACATACACACTCACAGAAGAATTATATACGTAGTTGGTCCCAAAGTTCTGTCACTAGCACATTATTTCTACATTTCGAGCAGGATTTTATAAAAAAATTATTGCATTCTATTTTGGAATGTTTGATTATTGTTTTAAAACAAAAAACAATAACTTTCCGTAATTTTTCACGATGGAGTGGACATTGAAAGTAAACCGAATAGTTGTTATTGCGTTGCACCGCTGTGGACACTCGCCGAGTACCATTTTCAAGTTGCTCAAAAATTTGAATATAACGCTTAGGTTTGTGTACGGTACTATTGATAGGTACCTTGAAGTCTCCAGTGTTGAGGACAAGAAAAGAACTGGCTGGCCACGCTCCGCAAGAACACCAGCAGTAATCAAAGCTATCAAGGCGCGGATAGTAAGAAATCCTGTCCGAAAACAGAAGTTGATGGATTTGCAGATGGGTGTCAGTAGGAAAACAGTAAAAAGGTTTTAAATGAAGATCTTGGTCTACGAGCATACAAAAAAGAGTGGGCACTTACTTAATGCTCGTCTAAAAGCAATAAGGCTTAAGAGATCGCGGGTGTTGTTTAAGCGGTACGCGAAAAACCGACACCGTGATATCCTCTTTACGGACGAAAAATTTTTCGATATTGAAGAGAAGTACAATAAACAGAATTATACAGTGTACGCTAAGAGTTCTGAAGAAGCTGAAAATAAAGTTCCAAGGGTGCAACATGGACATCATCCATCATCAGTAATGGTTTGGTTGGGAGTGTCCTATTACGGGCTAACTGAGGTTAATTTTTTCGAAAAGGGGGTCAAAACCAGTGCTACAGTGTACCAAGAGACGGTTTTGTATCGCCTTGTCAAAGACATGTCCAGCACCCTATTTGCGGGACATCACTTCGTGTTCCAGCAGGACTCTGCGTCTGCATACAAAGCCAAGACCACTAAAGCCTGGTTTGAGCGTCAAAACATCGTCTTAATTAGACATGAGGATTGGCCTTCCTCCAGTCCGGACCTTAATCCTTTGGACCAGAAATTATGACAGGGCTTAGAGAGGAAGGTCTGTGATAAACCTCATGAAAATTTGGAGAATCTGAAGTCATCTTTAAAAAAACCAGTGACTGAAATGGACACGAATATGGTGCGTGCTGCGATAGACGACTGGCCGCGACGCTTAAGGGCCTGTATTAAAAATGAGGGAGGTTATTTCGAATATTTTTATGCTTTTTTTATTCCTTAATTAATTTACTAAGAATTGATATATCACTCATTACAAACTGATCAGTACTTTTGTTTTTATCATTATTTCCATTTATGACAGAACTTTGGGACCGACTACGTATATAAAGATAAGTCATTTAATTCAAATTAGGTGGAATTAACTGGAATGGTGGAAACATATTACTAAATTACTATTTAATATACGCTATTAGGCGTAGGCAAGTCAAATAAGTCCTTGTACTTGTATTAATTTCAAAGTTTCACACATAATTAGTTTTAGAACACTACGTATATATTAAATCTATGTAGCGCGTCCTAAGAGAAATGAGATTATAGGATAAAGATTTCGCTAATTATTATTTATTTATTTATAAAATCTATCCAAGCACTTTTAAGGTACAAAAAAAAGGGAAAGATAAAATTTTTTTGAAAAATAAATCAGAAGGAAAATCGATTTTAAAGTGTGAGGCAACTATGGATATCCAGATCTAGGTTTTTTATGAGAATACTCAATCTAGATATCGATGAGTTTGGCCAAAACACGATCTTCTTTATATATATTCGATATATCACTTAATTTTTTACGATTCTTCAACGACAACTAAACCAAGTACGAATTGAACTTTGGATCAAAGCAAAATCCGCGAACTTTAAAGCGCATAAATCTTTATTGGTTCACGTTACTCAAGTTCTATCTCTCAACTGTAACCTACTTCCGAGATTCGTCCGTAACAAAGCAACCCTTTATACTATCATGTTCCACTATATTGCATTCCACGCTGAGTGATATAGGAGATAATATCCTCTTTATTGACTATAAGCGTGTAGACTTTTCTGAATTTTATTAGGTAAGATAAAGTATTTCAAAGCGTAGCTTAGATATAATATTGTTGAGACCAATCTTATCAAATTTACAAAAGAAAATAAATCAGTAGCGCTACAACATTTTTTGGTCCGGGCCTCAGATTTCTGTATCTGTTTCATGGTCATTTGTTAATCTAATAAATAGCAAGTAATCAGCCTCCTGTGCCTGACACACTACATCGTCTATTTTGGGTCTAAGTCAAGCGGTTTTCTCACGATGTTTTTCTTCACCGTTCGAGCGAATGTTAAATGAGCACATACAAAGAAAGTCCATTGGTGCACAGCTGGGGATCGAACTTACGACCTCAGGAATGAGAGTCGCACGCTGAAGCCACAAGGCCAACGCTGTTCTTATGTTAACATTTAATTAACTAAATTTTGCTTGACAGAAAATATATTAATTTGTTATTTTCCGTCGACGACCAGTCACTTTCCGAGCGGCTTGATCCCTTAGCGTTGTGTAGGGTCTCTCTGCATCTTCTATCGCATTTACCACGGAGAGTATTCATAGTTGTTAGGGTTAATGCCTGTAGCTGAGTTTCATCATCGGACGTTGAGGCAGAATACGAAATTCCATCCGTATCACCTCGACATCCGTCGTTCCACAACTGAGCGTTTTTTATGGCAGTTACTACTACGGCCAACCAATGTTTCCGAACCAATTCGACTTAAGGTTCTTTTAGAAAAGAGCGTACCAATTCTTAAAAGGCCGGTAATGTACCTGCGAGCCTTCTGGTAATGTCAGTGTCTATGGGCGGCGGGATCACTTAACATCAGATGAGCCTCCTGCCTGTTTGCAAAGATTAAACTAATAATAACTTTAAGTTTTAGATAGCTACATAGGTAGCTACTAATTACGTCAAATTTGTTTTATTAAATTCGATGTGATTATTAACATCACAATCCTTTCAAACATTTCGACAACAATTTCACAAGGTAAGAGAATGAAACTTTGTCAACTTTTATGAACAAATGCTTCTTAATTTATCTGGCTTCAGTTACCTAAGGAAAAAAATTGTATACAAAAAATAAGAACACTAAATAATTATTTATATCGCAACGTGACCAAGGAGGAAGAATACTTAATAATATTATGGTGGATAATAACGGATTTATTATGCTTAAAAATTATGGGGTAAAACTGATCCGCACGATAAGTGGTGCGGTCTATGACTGATCTATGACTCCTAGGTGTGGGCTATCCAATTTCACTCGCGTCGATTTCCTACTGGCTAATCTGGGTTGCTCGACAGCGCTCCAAGATCTTTTTAGGCCAGTAGATACCCAAAATACGGCGAAGACAGCGGTTGACTAGAAGCCGGTGCAAGATGTCGTTAGTGACCTTCCACGTTTCAGCCATTTAACACAGACGGGGCGGTTTATATGTGAGGTGACGTAACTCTTTTGGTAAGTTTTAGACTCGATTGGTTTGTTGCCATGACAACAAAACGTATCAACGGTCAATGGTCCTATAGGTTATGTATTTACCCGACGTTAAGAAAGGTTAGTGGCAAAACGACACTTATACAATCGACCAATCGAATCAACGTTATATCCAAATATTTAGGATGCTCAATTTTTTTTACGTTGAAGTGTTAATTGAAGTATTGTTTCAGGAGAATGGGCGTGCGGCGCCGGATCTCACGGCGTCGCCGGGCCGTGCTCCGGCCGGTCCGCCGCAGCCGGCGCGCGCGAATCATGCGCCGCCCTGCGTGCTGCAGCCAGATTTTAGGAAGGTATACAATCGTTGCCGCATTATGAACAAAAGAACCAGTGGTTAATGATGGCCTCAGAAATCTAATAACTTACGTATTAGCTTCTAAGAATTAACATTTTGTTTTTTAATAGCAGCTTCAGAAATATTGATTTATGATAAATATGATTGAAGGTTGAACCACAATCATAAAAGTATGTCTTTTGCTTATAGAACTTATTAAGAAGTTTATACAGAAAATTCCGTCATACATCATTACGTAATAATCATTATTACTTCTCTGTTAACCGTACGCTGCGTAATCTTTTGAAACTACATAATACACAAACAAACCAACTGTTCAGATAAATTATTAGATATATTCTTTAACCAAAAACTGCAAAGCAAAGCTTCCGCAGTTTACACAAACCAAACACAGAAGCGGTCTTTACTTAAACCCAAACTACAAATCACTTTGCAAAGCTTAGTTGAAAACTTACAGGTATCTGGCGTGAGCAATGAAATATTCAGACAGATTGAAATGGTGGAGAACGATCACGACGCTACGACGGCCGCGGCGCTCGAGGTAATAAAATTCTAGTAAAACTATTGGCTGTCGATTTCTAAATATCTTATATATTTATTGCTTTAGAATAGTATAAAAAAAATTCAGAAGCAAAACTACATTTGTCATAAGTTTATTAAATGTTTTGTGTATATTTATTTATTTCAACACTTAAATTCTGACAAAACATTATTTAATTGATAATCGTTTATGAAGGCTTTTAATCGTATTAAGACCATATATAACGTACCATAAGCCTCAATCTTCAATGGCAAAGTATCAAGAGGATAGTGATAAGGAAAAAATGTAAGCTCATATTTCAAATAGAAAAAGATATTGGTGTTAAGAGCTTATTCAATAAAATTGAATTTGATTTATATTGAAATTCAGTGACGTATACAAAAATGTATGGTCGATTAAAATAGCGGATAAGTCTATAAGGTAAAAAGGGTCAAGAACTGAAGGCCTGTGAGTAATTGCAATATTGATTGTTTCAGGCGGTGGAGCGTCGCGGGGAGATGATAGTTCGGATCCTTGAGGTGAGGCAAGTGGGACGAAATAACATCGAAGCCGCCAAGAAATTCTTCTCTTTACAGGTATTTAAATCATTTGTGAGAAGTTATTTTAGTGGTTTTATTTGTTTACATAATTTGTAACTAAAATGTTACTTACTAAAAAATAACGTTTACGTTACGTTTAAATGACCTTTAAGCTGCCATATTTTTTTAAAATTTATTATATAAAACTCATTCAACATAAATCTTATCGCTGAATCCTCCTGTTGTCTGTTACTGTTAAATTGTATTTTCGCTGTGATCATCAGACAACAGATCAAATGCATGGTGCCTTTATAGCGTGGGCGAGTATTTAGACCATAAGTTTGACACCAATTCTAAATGACTTAACTTTTTAGTATGACATTATGTTAATGTTCTTATTATATGTCATTATAAAAATTAATATGACATTTGCATGCCTATTTATATATGGCTGATTGTGCGGATTTTTATAATTAATCTATCTGATTGTACCACTATCTTAGCAAATAAACGTTTCATTTCATTTCATTAAAAAAAGATAGTTTCTTTGACTATGGATACGGCGTCTATCGAAATTAGTACAGATGTTCTTGCGTGTTGCCATATACTTTACATGAAAAAATAAATTGCAGCCTAAAAATATTTTTACCGTCTGTACCTAAATAAATATTTTATTTTCTTAAATACGTAGAAAAATACACGTGTCAAAACATATAATTCGTCAACTAAAAATAATAAGGAAATCGGTCAGTAAGTGTGTGCCGGAAGTAGGTCTGACCTTACCCGCAATATGGGCAATATTGCGGTCACAGCTGTAACCCTGATCGACTGGGGAAAACAATTACTGTGTCACCGATTTCGATGTCCTGTATTTTCTATAATAAGGTTTTCATATATGTAAATAATTCCTCTTAAAATTCAATAATATATATCAAATGGCACCATAAAAATGTACTTAAGAAAAGCTCACAGAATCACCTCAATTTTCCTTTGCAAACGAACCCTCATATCCCCATTTATTACCTTCAAAGACGAGCTTTGAGAGGGAATTTATTCATCGATATTTGCATATTCTAATTTACTCTAAAAACAGGTAATTTCACTCCCTTTGTTGACCTGAATATTTTGCTCTAACCTAGTACAGATCTCGATGAAAGAGCTCTCACCAGACAGATCTATTGTTCAGCTTGGCCTAGATAATAGGAAATGCGAATGCAATCTAGACTAGCATTGTTAGGATGCGTACTCACAGACCGCAGCCCGCCTAACCAAAACTATGTCATATTGCTACGAGATTGATTTTGCTGCGGTCCCATCGACTATTTCACCAACGTTATTAATAAGGCCACAAAGAATAATTATATGAAAGACAAATGAAGATGCCATTACAGCTGACGTTTTAAAGCAGTGTTACCCAACGGGGACCACGCCCCACAGTGGAGCAGTTTGATTGTTAAGGCCATTCGAAATTTATTTCAAATTATCAATTATGTTTTGAAAATTTACTTACTGTGTTTCGTTAACAAATTGTTAGTAATTCCTTCCTAAAACCTATCATTTAAGTTTCTTAAGTGCACACTTAAACATTTTATATGAATACTAGTGGACCCCACAGACATTGTCCTGCATGATATTTAAAGCGATTAGGATATTAAGCAAAGTATGAAAGTACCGACTGCAGTGCCATCTGCCGGGCTGATTTGTGAATCTAAACCATTCCCAGATCCCCTTGAACACACACAAAAAATTTCATCAAAATCGATCCAGTCGTTTGAGAGAAGTTCAGTGACATACACACTCACAGAAGAATTATATATATAAAGATTTTTTGTATGTTACATAAGAATTTTAGAACTTCGCAAACACTTTTTTGAAGCGTTCTGTCATTTTACTATTATACCTGTGCCGATTGATCATTCCGTCCCAAAAGGTTCTCCAGGATGGCTGTGTGGGGTGGTTTTTTTTATGTACCTAATATATGGAAAACGGGTAGGAGTCTCTCCTGATGCTAAGTAATACCGCCGCTCATGGACACTCACATTGCCAGAAGGCTCGCAAGTGCGTTGCCGGCCTTTTAAGAATTGGTAACATTGTATTTTAGATATATGAGCATATTGTGTTACAACATCAAACACTGGTTACCAGCCCAGCCATCAGGTTTACTTAGAAGGATCAATCATTTTCCAGGATTCACGACATGCAGTCCAACTAGTGGAAATCGTCAAACGACCTGGCCAAACTTTGGGCTTATATATTCGAGAAGGAGACGGTGGGGCGAGGACAGATGGAGTATTCATATCTAGAATAGCGTTAGAATCTGCCGTTTATAACAGCGGTTGTCTCAAGGTTGGAGACGAGATCCTAGCTGTTAACCTAGTGGACGTTCGACGCATGTCATTAGATGACGTTGTAATCATCATGTCGATTCCCAGAAGACTTCTACTTTGCACCCGACAGAGGAAAGGTAAATAATAATCCCTTGTTGGTAAATATCAAAGCCTGTTTGTGTAAATAAATTCGCTCCGAGCATATTTACATTTCGTCCTTATATTCCATGTTTTGCGCTTGTGCAGTGAAATGTTAGAGATAATTTTGTAAATATTGATGCGAAAGTAACTTATTGTACTTAATGAGCTTCACTTAAATCTCATTGTATTTAATATATTTTTTTTATCCTGTGATATTAGAGATTTCTAGATATTAATAACAGCTATGGATACGATGGTCTTGTTCTCTGTCTTCTTTTTTGATTGTCCTGAATAATTTATCCATCATTATATAATCTAAAAAATTAAGGCGAAGGTGAAGTTAATTTTTATGTCTGTTTAGGAAAATCTGGACCAGGATCACCTTCAATGCCCAGAACTGAACATAAGCCCCCACCAGTTGTCGTGCTGAAAAGAGATTGCAGGGATGACGACGACAGAGATAGAGATAGAGTCGATGGACTTTACTCACAGTAAGTTGTTTTTACTAATGATAGGAGTCGACTCCATCTAAATCTTTTTTTTTTACATTCTTTCTAGATTCTTCCCCTACTGTTTTGGTGCCGAAGGTATTGCTTAACGAATATGATATTTTTAGTAAATTTAAGTAGTAGATACTTTTTGGATTTCTGCATTATAATATTATCTGCATATACATTAGGTAATATCATAAAATTTACAGCAGAATTTATATTGCAAATAACTAACAAATACTTTGTTCATTGCTAGACCAGAAAAAATCCCGTTGTAAAAGTACCTGGTGGTTCAAGTAAATTATCTATATGTGGATTTGACACTTATTTTATTTCCAGACATGGTACGCTCCGTTCAACGGGGGCATCTGGCGGAGTTCGACCCGTGGGAGACGGTCGCGAGGAAAGAAGTCGCCTGCAGCTGGGCGGTTTGTCTCCTGATTCCACTCCCCTCGACTTGTACTATAATTCCAGACCACCATCGGACCATTCTACATGGAGGTATGTAAAAAGTCTTCACAATCGTGTTTGTTACTTGTTTACGTACTATATGTATTGAACTCAAATAAAATAAAAAAAGAAGTGGCGCTACACCCTTTTAGGTCTGGGCCTCAGATTTTTGTATCTGTTCCATGATAATTTGTCAATCTAATAGGCAATTAGGTGATCGGCCTCCTGTACCTAACTTTTTGGTTCTAAGGCAAGCAAGGATTCCTCACTATGTTTCCTTCACCGTTCGAGCGAATGTATTTAACATTCACACACATAGAAAGCCGGGGATCGAACCTATGACCTAAAAAAATACTAATTTTTATTATTATTAATAATATTTTTTATATCTCTCCAATAAATCAATAACAATATGTAATTGTACCCGTATCATCTTCACGTCCTTTGTACTGGTAGTGTGAGTGACCGAAGGCAGGTCACTGTCATCAGATGAAGCTCCTGCTAGTTCGCCCCCAGTTCTATTAAAAATTACTTACTTCATTTTCCGACACGTTTCAAATGCTGTGCCTTTTTCAAACCTATATAATTCAAATAAACTAGGAACAGTGTTTAAGTTTTAAATTCTTATAAGTTATTCTGCTTCAGTTATCGCCCACCACCGCCAGTTATTACAGAACAACCTAAGTCAGGAGCTACGCACTTTGTGCCATACGAAAGATCTTATCCAAACACATTGGAGAGCTTAGCTGAGAAGGTTCATTCCTTCTATCCAGGAGAAGGAGGCAGGTAAGAAGTAAAAGGGGCTTTAATTATAAAGTAAATAATTAATAAAATTGTAAGAACATATGGTACAATGTTTTTAAAAAAATATAATAATTAAATCTTTTTTTACTTCTTAGTACTAGGTTCGGCGGCAGAGTGCCCAGATCTGGGTCGGAACAGCAACTGCCTCGTGCAGAAACTCATTCAGATTTCGGACGGCATTCTCTGCTGAGGTCCAGTTTGAAAGCATCTGCCGCTACTGGTGCAGCTGGTGGTAAGAATAAATCTTGTATTTAATAAATACACTCTGACTTATTAAATAATAAAGTTTCGGCTAAAATAAAGAATATATTTATTTATATAAATTAAATGCTATTTTCGTGTATTTTTAAATTTATTTATTTCGTAATCCAAAAATTATATATATTTTGTATGTTGTATGTCCGAGCTGCTGCTGATAATAAACTCATTCATGTCCCTGTCTCAATTTCCACATTATGTAAATTTATAAGCACGATTTTTTCCAGCCTCAACTTTGTCAAGATACAATCAACGTTACGGTGGCGTAGGTATGCCTGGTCTTCCAAGCTCGGGACTTTCAAGTACTGGGCTAACTAATGCCGGCTTAGGCCCTGGTCTTCCTTCGGGGCTCTCATCTACCGGTCTAAGCGGTTTAACCGGTTCCAGCTTAGTTGGAACAGGACTGAGTAGCGGGATTGGAACTGGATTATCGGGATCTGGATTAAGCTCTACTCTCGGAGGATACGGAACGACAGGTTTAGGACTATCCTCTTACGGAAATAAATTCGGTACATCGAGAAGGAATCGAAGCCTCGACTACTCCTCGGATACAGAAGCCACAGCACCCACAAGAACGCCATACTATTCGGGATTAAGTGGCTACAGAAGCAGCACGTTGGGAAGAGATATAGGATCAAAGTTTAATTCGCTCCCAAGAGACGTACGAGGAACTGGCCAAAGGTGAGAAAGTCTTTGGAATTTCATGAGATCTATCCTATATGTAATTCTTATATGATTTCACAGAATGGGACTGTCAAGGCGAGCTGGAAGTGTCTTGCAAGACGAACCTGAACCGCTGTCTTCTCGACTAGATCTACGTTCTTCCAGAGGTTAGTGATTTGTTTTATAAATAACCTCGTTTTGAAATCAAGTACTATGCACGTCAAAGTATTTTAATTTTAACAGCAATTGGGCCTCTTCATTAAAAGTTTGCACACCGATTCTTCGTTCGGAAACGCGATTAACGAATTGATTTAGACAAAAATGTTATTTAAGATCCATCAGAGCAGCCGGTAAATTACCAAGTCTGACATCATCTTTGAGATCCACGCCGGTACTCTGTCCCCAATAAGTACCGATAATTGATGCCGTCTTTAAATAGATCTTTTGTCATTTATACGTGGACTTTTCATTTTCCTATACCGTAAATGTCGCTGGCTTGGGACTGCAACAATTCAATACTGATGTCAGTATACCAGAGTACCAGGTCAAGAGGTATAAAACAAAAGTGATATTCCATGTATTGAAGGACGTTTACCTTCCTCACCGTCAGTGTTCACATCGGACGAGTATCGCGCCTGGCTGTCCAGAGCGCCTTCTACCAGTGCTCTCTACGAGAGTCTGCGGCCACGCTTGCCTACCCACTACTCGGCAGAAAATATACACGATGCGCTGAAAAATGTAAGTTTACAATTTATTTATTTACACCGATGTTATAACTAATCCGGACTTAATATTTGCAAGACAAAAAATTTGCCAATTTCTATTGAAATTACGATGAAAAAAACAAAAATTATGTTTTTGTAATATTTGCTAATATCTATATATATACGTATATATATGTGTGTGTGAAGTGAAGAGTAATGTAATTTTTCTTATGACAGATGGAAAATGCAAGTCGCTACGGTTCAACACTGGGATTAGCTGGTCGCCGCATGGAGCGCCCCAGGCACTTGCCAGCAAGATCTCTGTCCTCGCAACAATTAGGTATTTTTTACAAAGAACCTAAGGGAAAAAATTCGGAGATGATATAATTTGTTTACAAAATTTGCCATTTACAAGAGATACGCAACAAATAATGTCTCAAAAAACTTAAATTTAAAAAATTTGCTGAACATCGTTTTTTGTTCTAATCACATGAACTTTAGCTTTACATTATAAAAAATATTAATTAACGCTTTTGTATTTTAAAACTTATCTAGATATATATGTATATGACGAATAAAACTCAAATGTGTTGCTAAAATATGTATTAAGAAAAAACATTTAGTGTTTGTTATTTTACTTGAAAACAATGACTTTTATCCTATTTCTTTTACAATCAAAAATATTTTCGAATTTAAATTTATATGACGGTCCAAAACTAGCGTATTTTCCACAGAAAACAACAAATTAAATCAAACATCATTTAACACATAATAGATAATTAGTAATCTAAAGAATTTAAGCTAAGAAATATAATTATAATTATTTATTTATAAGGACCAACCGCTAGTGGATCACCGTCAGCTCGTCGCGTGAGACAGCTACTGGAGCTAGGTTCGAAATTCACCTGCCCCAACCCCAGCCCGGTGCCCACACCCGGGTCAAGGCATCAGAGACACCTCGATATAAACCCTAACGGTACGTCCATAATCGTCATACGAGTAAAAAAGCATCGTGATTTAATTTCCACAACTGAGCGTTTTCTGAGGCAATTATTGCCCCACACCACTATGTGGAACCAGCTGCCCACTTAAGTATTTTATAACCAATTCGAAATAAGGTCCTTCAAGAAGAGCGTTCCAAGTATTAAAAGGTCGGCAACTCACTTACAAGCCTTTTGGCAATATGAGTGACCATGGGCGGAGGTATCAACTAACATCAGATGAGCCTTCTGCCCGTTTTCCTCCTGTTACATAAAAAAATCAAAGTCTGATTTCAAAACCAAGCAAGGCAATGTATACAATAACACAATTGAACTTTCAATTCAATGTATTAAAAAGAAGTTGCATTGATTATCTGATTTATATATCGGAATCTATATTCGAAAATAGTTCTTTAATAGATAAAATCTGACCTTTTCTATATTTAGTCAAGCTTTTTTTACAGAATTTCTCAAATACAAGATTGAAAAGCCGGGGACTGGTTTATCGACATCTATGACTGGGCTATCTCGTATATCTGGGGGTGTTTCGGGGATGTTATGGGTGCATTTATTAGCCGGAAGGGGGTTAAGGCCTGCCCCCTCGGGCTCTTCGCCCGGTTCTCCCCCGTCGGGACCTTTAGCCCCACCTCAGCCCCCGGTAGCTCCACGGGACTTGTACTGTGTACTTGAATGCGATCGAGTACATAAAGCTCGTACTGTGGTAAGTGTCGCATAAGTAGTTGTAATTGTTTTACTTTATGTACTGTAACCGCAATGCGGTATCCGTTCTTATAAATTGTCTTCAGTGAGATATTAAATACGTAAGTATGTATATGTTAGTGAATATATATAATACGACAATTTACATACATATTAAAATAAATTCAAATTTATCGAATTTATTTATAAGTATCTATTCCTATACTTAATATCAAAAATACACTTAGACAATATACAAAGCCAAACACAGATTTGTTAAACACAATATACGAAACAGAAAAAGTCAATTAAGTTCATGAATAGATATAAAAAAAAACTAAAATTAAACATTAAACAAAGTTCAACTTAATATTTTAAATAAATAAAAATTTTATTATTGCTAAACAAAGCCAGTCTTCCCGCTTTTTAAAATATACCCGCTTTGGAAGGTGGAAAATATCAAAATCTTTTTAATATGTATTTTTAGATAGCTAAAACCCGGCGAATTACGCAGATAATTCCGAGCTCTTTAGTAGCGATAGTTGTAAGAATTAAATAAGAAGTTTTCAAATGATATAATATAGGTTTCTCTCATCTTCTTTCCTTCAGGTTCGTACCGGAGAACTTCAGTTTGATTGGGATGAGTCTTTCGAGCTAGAACTGGTTGATAATAGACAATTGGACGTTCTGGTATACTCTTGGGATCCTCAACACAGGCACAAGTTGTGTTACCGTGGAGCTGTCACCTTGCCCGATCTGCTAGCACGGTCTTCCTCACATCAACTGGCGATAAGGGTAATATTTTTTTTTTAAATTTAGATCCCAAGGAAATGGAAACGGTTGAAGCAGTACTTTAAATTCAATTTTATATGTATGTTAGCATGAAGTTCAAGTATGTTCACTATGCGAAACTCAAAATTTCATCCGCATTACCTTGATGGCTGGTAATTTGCCACTTTTTTGCGAAATAGCGAACTATGGCAACACGATCTTCAATTGTTTAAAAAGGAACATACTACTTCCACAAAGGCCGGAAATGTACCCACAAAAATGGGTACCCTTGGTGTGCGATGACTGCCATTTTTGTGCGTCCTGTAGGTTTTTTCCTATTAAAAAAAAAGAAGATGTATTTTTGCATTGGGGAAAATATTTGTTATATTCAACACAAATTAAGAGGAATTACTGTAACTAATAGTATGAATGAGAAGCCAAACGGAAATAAATTAAAGACAAAAATTAATTACTTAGTATTGTCTTTTATTGAGATAAACTTTACACATTTAAAGAAAACACTTTTTAACCGGATTGAAGTTATATATTATTATAAATTTACAATTATTTTACATAATTTTAAATTTAACCGACGTTTCGCGTGCTTTACACCGTGCGTGGTCACGGTGACTGAAGACAAAAGGTGTTGAATGTCAGAAAGTATCACAGCTGTAGAAAAAGTTGTATCACCTGTATTTATTTCCCCGGAGTTTGTATCGACTAAAGGATGGAGGGGTTTGGCAGAAATGACTCACGGTGTCCTCTTTTTTCGCAGATTGTTTATCTTGAGATTTTAATTTGGATATTATTGGATCCCAGGTGTTGACAATTTTAGGCCGTCTTTTCTATTGAAATTGAAATACAATAATACGTAACTTCAATCCGGTTAAAAAGTGTTTTCTTTAAATTCATTACTTACTAAAAACCATCATCTTCAACGGTCTATTATTCGGACTCTATCTACCGAAACCGGTAGAAACAGATAGTTCGCTCCAGACGCTCTCTTGCTGACCACTACGCTCAGACATGAGCTGCCGATTAAAGAGAGAGACAGATCACATTCAAAGTTGTTCTTAAAACATGCTATATAAAAATCTTCTATAAATTTCCAAGTATATATTTCAGATGGAACCGCGTGGAACGCTTTACGTCCGCGTGCGACACACGGAACCACATGAGTTATTCCGCCGAAGACCCACGCCATCCCGTCTATCCCCCCCACCTTTATTTGGGGCAGAATTAGATCAAGTCGTTGCAAGGGAGGTTAGGCCATCCCATGCCCCACCGGTGCCGCTCATCGTCAGGCGGTGTGTGGAGGAGATTGAACGACGCGGGTTGGATATTATAGGTGATTACCATTTTTAGTTTAAAACATTCTACAGATGTAATTTTAACTCTGGTCATATTGTTTTTTAAACAGTCTTTTGTTAACGACTGGACCAAGCAATATATAGACTGAAATAAGACTTAAGAACAGTGTTGGCCTAGTGGCTTCAGGTTGACTCTTATATCTGTGGTCGTAGGTTTGATTCTCGGCTGTGCACCAATGGAATTTTTTCGTTTAACATTCGATCGATCGGTGATGGAAACCGGCTTGCGTTAGACCCAAAAAGTCGAAGGCGTGTGTCAGGCACAGGAGGCCATTAAAAATATTTAAAGTAAAACTACTAAAAATTCGCCTCATAACATTATAATGTTTTATTAAAACATTAAAAGTGTTATGGAAAGCAAAAAAACAAAAATAGACCTGAATATTTCGTCAACTCTTTATTTCAATTACAAGAGAAAATATAAACAAATATTTAATGTGACTTCTGAAGCTTCTAAATGAATTTCGAATGGGGTATGGAACCCATTTTACTTTTGGCAATTCCTGAATATTTTTTTAATAAAGAGTATTTTCAGGTCTCTACCGTCTTTGTGGATCTGCGGCTAAAAAGAGGATACTGCGTGAAGCATTTGAGAGGAATGCTCGTGGAGTTGAGTTGACCCCTGACTCTGTTCCCGATATCAATGTGATTACGGGAGTCCTCAAGGATTACTTGAGGGAACTACCGCAACCACTATTCAGTCGGTGCTTGTTCCAGATGACGTTGGATGCTCTAGGTGAGAGAAAGAAGACGTTATGGCATATTCCTGTATATTTTCCATTTCTTTATTTTTAAACAGTAAAAATTTCAACGTATTATAAAGTCAGGTTTAAATATAGTTCTTTTAGATTTATTTTTATAATAATAATTTATTCCAATGTGATAAAACAGATCCATTTTAGTTAGTAAGTACAACTTAAAAACAAATTTCAGTACTAACAATAAAGAAAAATAAATTAAAAATTTATATATATAAATAAATACACTAGTCTCCCAGAGCCGACGAGCGTACTCATACAAAAATTACTTGGCATAGTGCGCGCACAATTATATGTGTTCGCTTTGGTAGCGGTAGCAAGACTGAGCGAACAACGAGTATAGTATGTGCGCGTCGACACGAGTCCACAACTTGTACCGTGTGCGCGCACACAAGTGCACAGTTGTGCGGGAATTTTGCTAAAATATTTGCGCACAATTTGTTTTTGTTTGCTTAATTGAGTCGCCCAAAACAAACATTTGTGCCGTACGCCGTGCCACACTGTGCCGCACAGTTCAGTACACTGGTGGAATCGTGCCTTTATACATACAACTCCTTCATTTTGGTATGCCTCGTTATTAACGACTTTTATATATTTTCTTATAGATGATAAAAAACTATTATCGACGGAAAAATCCAAAACGATGTGCAATTCATTTTTATATACAGTTTAAGTAAGGCTTAAATTGCTTTTTCATTCAATTTATGAGTAGACCTCAATCCAATTAGGCACTGATGTAACTTTTTATTTCATAACATTCACTATATCATTACAGGAGTATGTCTACCAGACGATAAGGAAGGAAACGCTCGACTTATGGCATCAATAGTGGAATGCCTTCCGCGTGCAGCACGGGCGACTCTGGTCTTTCTGCTAGATCACCTGGCTCTCGTAGTCGCAGCCCAGGACCGGAACAAAATGTCTCCGCAACATCTGGCTGTGGCCCTGGCGCCACCGCTGATGCTACAGTCGCAGCCGCCCACAGAGCTGGACTACCAGCGACCGATACACGTGCTACAATGCCTTCTACAAATCTGGCCAGCTCCGAAACGTTCAGGTAATGTTGTCGTTCAGCCCCAATAGCTGTAACAGCTAAGTTCCAGAAACAAGGACCAGAAAGTTAATGGGGGAGGGGGGAAGTGGAGAATGAAAGACGCTAGAACGTTGCGTTGAACTGTGATTGGTCAACAGCATCTGTTATCTGTCAGCTGTCAGCATTAGCAGCAAAAATAATTGACAGTGAAGCAGATATCGTTCCTATCTCTTCTATGCTGACACTATTAATATTTTTTATTATTTGTAAGTCCTAAAACAACATGTTTGGTTAATACATACAAAAAAAGTATGTCTTCACAAATTTTACACACATACACATCATATTAGAACATACAAACATCAAACTAGCTAGGAAAAATTAATCAAGCAACCAAAATTAAAAAATTAAAATTACAATAATTATGGATAGTAATTAATATTATGCTGACTTAATTTTCTACAATACTAAAGAATAGCTTAAAGTAAGTTATTGTTGAATAACACTCTTAGTGTTCTATAATGTTTGTACTGTGTTCGTGTGACAGAGATACCGCACATTATATTCATTACACAATGTTTGTTCACTCCAAAAATAACTACAACTAAATCGTTAAACCTCATTAAGTAAGAACCAAGATTATTGTAAATAATAAATAATTAATTTAACTGAAAATTATATCTGTGGTCAAAGTGCATTACTTTTGCAAAATCTAAATGTGTTTTTGCTTTGTGAGAGTATCTTTTTAATTTTCAACTCAAGGCCAACCTTAACGCATGTATGTTTGTAGACAGTTCGGCGCGGAGAGCCAGCACTCGGGCCGCGTGGAAACAGAGTCAGTGCGTCGCAAGTGGGCTCAGCCACCCTCCCCCAAGGTAATATCTTCTCATCGTTTATTTACCAGTTACTTTTAAATTCAAGACGGAAAACGAGGAAGTGGACGAACTCAAATTATAAGCAGGCTATAACTGAAGAAGAGTCGCAAAGGATAGTGAACAGTGGAATGGGTTTGAGGAGACATTTGCCAAAAGGCACACCGGAGTCCGAGATATAATGTAGTGTATTAAAGACGGAATATAAAGGCATATTATTTATTAAGTATTATTATTTTTTAAACTGAATTGAAACTGTCTGAACAAAAAAAACATTGTAAACATTTACCAACACACAAAATATATACAGTTATTAGAATATTCTTAACCTACATATTAATAATAATTAAAAATTGATAAGTAGAAAATTAAAATAAATTTTAAAAGTTTGGTCCCTATGGCGAGTACCTTTAATGCTGGCAGAATATCCTCGCTGTGTTGCAATTTTATTCGTTGAGCAAAGCACCAGCTCTGGGGTCATCGGTACTATCTACGAGGCGCCACCTTAAATCTTTAATTAGTGCCTGTGCTCTTGAACCCCACGGCCCAAGAGTCAAAGGGAACAAAATCAAAGTTAGAGAAAAGGCTTTTATATTGGAGCCGTTTGTTATTAATAAGTTTTGATCACAATATCATTAACTGAAACACTTAAAACATTATTGATAAACTTTTATATTCCCTAAATTCTTAAAAAGCCGGCAACACACTCACGAGCCCTCTGGCATTGAGTGGCTGTGGTATCACTTAACATCAGATGAGCCTCCTGCCCGTTTGCCCCTGTTCTATAAAAAAATAACAAATATCATATATTATTATTAATTTTATTTGAATGACTCTCGATGTAACCCTCAGGCCGAGTTCCGCCCTCAGCCAGTCCATATCGGCATCCAGCGGTAGTATCAGCAGCATCTCCGCAGCCAGCTCTCTCGGCTCGGCCCGGGGCCGACCGCTCGCCGCCCGCACATGTACGTATACTCTTTACATTGACAAATATTCAATACATTACATATACGGGGCAATATATTGAATATGTTAGGTACATGGTTACTATCTAATTCATTCATTTGAATAGTTTATGACAGGGACAGCGATGCGATCAAATTATAGGTGTTTTATTCATTTTTTATAATGTTTATCTTTTATTTGTTTCAATAAATACACAATAAACACATATATCCCAAAATCATCATTTCTTACACGCACTATTATGAACATGAAATCTTTTTTAAATATTTATACAATGGAATCTCTGTAACTCGAATATGAAGGGAAATGGAAAAAAAATCGAGTTAACAAGTTTTCAACTCAAGAAGAACTTCGAGATATATATGATTTTTTCTGCTGAAATGTATGTTATTTATTTTATTTTTCGAGTGTATGCAATTAATGTATTCATTCATTGCACTAGTACAAGAAAAAAACATGGATGAGAAGCCCCGAACCCGAATATTTATTTTGAATTTTATTGTTTTTATTTCGGGGAATTCCAAGTAAGACGTCATTATATTTTACTAACTAAGACTTACGGAGTCTCCTTTCTGAAATTCGAGTTATAAAGTCTAAATAATTCGAGATATCGCGTATTTAGGTTTTCAGCGGAAGAGAATGACAATTTTTTTCGACTTACTGAGGATTTTGACTTTTCGAGTTTCGAGTTATGGAGATTCCACTGTATTAACCACGCTTTACGAATTCAATACGATAAACGAACTTTGGAGCTGAGGGAATTTTAAATGCAAATGTCATAGTAAAAATATTTGTGACCCTTAATGAGTGATAGAGACAGTTTTAGTGAATTCTACAAAATACGAAATCAAGTTCTAAATGGAAGTGTAAAAAGGTTTCATTGTTCAATCGATGTCTTTCATTTACAAATACATAAACATTGTTAATGAATGAAAGTATGAATGAATTGACGCAGTGACTCTCTGTAATAGTCTAGCTGGACCTCTGGGGTTTCACGTCACTTTGCGCAGACCTACTTTCAAAACCAAAATAATATCTTGTCAGCAGGCTTAAGTAAGTGTGGAGAATTTCAACTCAATACGCATGTAGTAGTAGATCTAGCTGCAAGACACACAAACCTACACAAGTGTAGCTCATGATTTGTAACGGAGAAGAGATGAGGTAAACCATTTTGTAAATATCACGACCTCATATTTCCTAAGACTAAGCGTTGGCCTTTACGAAATGGTTTATTATTGACCTGTTTTTTTGATGATCCCAATTTACAGCTAGCTTTAATTTTAGTTTGTCCCCTTGCCTGGAGTGCTAGGTTACTTTAATTAGGTTTGGTGCTACTTAAACGCGTATTTTTTTGATTAAACTCATCTGACATCACGAATACAATATATGAATGTTTTTCAACTCATTATGATTGCTTGGATACAAAACTGATTAAAGTTTTGCGTATTATTGTGTAATAAAGTTTTTAAAATAATAAAGTAAATCTGTTATATACCTGACTGATATGATAACAGTGAAGGAGAAATGTGACCCCGTGCCGTCGGTTGCAGGTTCTCTCATCAGCCAGGGCCGGCCCATATCGTCCGCAGTCGCCTCTGCGCGGCCCTCTGCCCGCTCCTCCTCGCTCCCGCCAAGTGACGGTCTCCTCTCCCGGTTCGCCCAGTAGCAGCTCGGGCAGCCACAGTCCGGCCGACACTATCAAGCACGGCGGGTCCGTCTCCTCAATACTACGACAGCCCGAGAGGACCTCGCCCAGGAATTCCCCTCGTCACTCCCCCCGGGCCTCGCCTAGAGATTCCCCGCGGGGCACGCCCAGGGATCTGACGCCGAGGGAGACGACACCTCGTGACACGCCCCGGGAGAATGGGTCCCGCGAGTCGCCCCGTTCCGCCATCCCGGGCACATCGGCCGGGCTGGCGGTGACGCTCAACTCGGCCGGCGGCGTGAGTCCTCGCTACACCTCCACCAACCCCTTCCTGCAACAGTACGACGCCGAGGAAGAAGCCGAGGCGTGGCACTCCGCCGACATATTCTCCTCTACGCACACATAGTGCTCATAGCGAATTGAATTTCCTAGTCAATTTTTTTAAAGAATCGAAAGAGTTCTGCTCTGCTGTATATTATGTTGTTCGAACGTGCGTTCGTGAATTTGTTATATATAGCGAGTTATGATGTATATTACGGTGAGAATGTTCGCGCGAGGTTGTCCTCGCCGACCGCTATCGCTCCGCCCCGTAGCCGCTATGTTGTATTGACGTATTGTATATTGTATATAAATGAATACGTATTTAACGTAGGTACTCTCCAGTTTTGTACCGATAGGGCGGCGCTCTGGCGGACGGTCGAAGCGCTACACGCATCGTCCCACATATCAGAGACTGGCGCCGTCGACGCTCCCGAGCTAGCTGAACTCTGGAGCGTCCACGGTGCGCCAGTCAGTAGGTCGAGTAGGGAGAGTGTATCATAGATCGAGTCGGAATCGTCTTGAGACTGAGACCATATCAGAGTACTTAGCTCGTAGATACCTCTCGATGGACATCCGTCGTAGAACGAGCGATTGCGTCACGAACGTCTAGAGGCACGAATGTTATGAATCTTTCAAATATTCCAAGTATTCCTTGTTCATTATTAATAAATTACTATTATACATATAAACTATATTAAACTAAAATAGTGTTAGTGCATTTTTACGAGTCGCTGATTCTATGAAGGAACGGATTCTTCATACTAAACGGATCGGTCGCAATCTCAAGATCTGGGATCATATTTGCGAATTGTTAAATTCCAAACGTCATACATTACACACATATAGTTCACAGATATAAGTGTCGAGCGGCAATCTGTTTCTTCCAATTGCAAACGTTTTTTACTGTTTACAATCATCTTCAAATTGTTGACTGTATTTTATTATCTTGTTGAATGGATAGCTAGTGTTAATGATAATACTGAATTATAAATTGGGATTCGCAAATAATATCTCTATTCTTATAGCTGGCGTCTGCTAGACATATAAGAGTGGCGGAAATCGACCAATGACAGCACTGATTAAACCCTCACTGCCATGATTGGTCCATTTTAAATAGTTATGCATATTATTACAATTACACCTATTAATATGTCTGTCGGAGGCACTCAGGTTTCGTACTGATTTTGAGCAACACTTCAAGACGAAGTTTTGTTACTGTTTTTATAATATAGTTGCACAAAGGACACGACTGAAATGGGACACAAGGTTTTTGATACTTTACCGTTTTACCCTTTTTCTCATTTTGTGATATACTAGATGTTGCGTTGGAACCTCGCCTTTTATATGAATGTAAGTCTGTCCATGAATTCCTATATTTCGCTTAACCTACTATGAATACTCGTTTTTGGCGGAATTCATGTTCGGAGTAGAACCTTATGACGACACTTTACTAGGCTCTGCTGAACACAAGAAACTACTGGGGACCTTTCAAGGAGTTTATTAATCTTCAAATTTTTCAGCAAGTATCTGGAACTAATTTAAGCTGTCCTGCGATTGGTCACTATTTTCACTAGCTTTAAGGGTAAATCTAAGTCACATACAGAAAACAGGTGTGCTAGTTATGTTGTGCTGCTTTTGAATCGTGATACAAGAACAGGAAAGTTTATTGACCGGCGTTAAGACCTGGAAGAAATGGAAGGCCCCCAAATAATTGATTTCTACCACTTAAAACGTTTTCCTGCTCACAATACTTTTGCAATTTCGTTATCTAATGTGTTCGGTAAAGCCTTAACGCGAAGACAATATGATTTTAGAATGTTTATAATATCTGATATAATGATTTAACTGAATGAAATCGCCTTCGTGATACCACATGAAGTAAATTAGCATTGCCATATAAATATACAAATAATTCATTTAGCTTACCAAAATTGATAGCTTTTAACTGTTCAGTATACATACTTGTTATTAATATTAAGTAGTTTAACATAATATTGTTACCATATATGATATTTACTTCACGTGGTACAAACGCTTATAACGTTAACACTGTCGGATATTAAACATTACTTTGTCTGTTTTATAAATACTTGTATAGGGTGTCTCAGTAAGAGTGCACTTTTTAAAATTGTAATATTTTTGTTTTCCTGCAAGTGACGACTCTGAAATTTGACAGGTGTCACCTCTGTTTATTCCAATTATTAAAAATGGTGCGCTTTTTTGAAAGAACAACAAGTTATAATTGTGAAAACTCATTACAAAAGTAACGATGAAAACGCTCGCAAACTTCACCAAATTTTCAGCCGAGAAAGTGCACCTAATGTGTCAACCATTCGAAGAGCGGTCAAAAAATTTTAAGAAACTGGGTTAATTATGGATAATAAGAATCTTTTGCGTCAACGTACCGGTCTGTCTCTTGAAAACATTGCTGCTGACTGCTGTAAACGAGAGTGTCGCCGAATACCCGAAAACATCAATTCGACGCAGCAAATTTTGACTAAAGACCTTCATGCGTACAAGATTCACTTAACTCAGAAGCTCAAACCAGCAGACCAAGGAAAGCACCGGCAATTTTCTCAATGAGTAATGGAGCAAAGGGAAGTCGATGCCAATTTTTCGAAAAAAGTCATTTTCTCCGATGAACAGAACACATTATCTCACGAAATTCTGATGTCAACTGGCCACCAAGATCGTGCGATTTAACGCCGTGCGATTTTTTGTTTGGGGTTTTGTGAAATCTCGAGTTTATGCGAATAAACCCGAAAGCATTCCTGAGCTCAAATCGGAAATCCAACGCGTCATCGGTGAGATACAGCCACATCTCTGTGCAAAAGTCATGGAAAATTTCATGAAAAGTGTAATGGCCTGTCATCGGAGCCGTGGAGGTTATTTGCCGGACATTTTATTCTATACTTAATCGGAACATGTCTTCTTTACAATGCAATAAAAATATCAGAACTGTCATAAAATACTTGTCTTTATTTAAAAATGAAAAAGTGCACTCTTACTGAGACACCCTATACTTTAAAATCTTTATGGATTAGGTTTTCATAATAAACAATTGCTTTTTAATTGAATATTGGGGGGATTTTTAATGAATTATTTGGTAAGTGACAAAAACACTTTAGAGAAATCCGACAGTAATAACAACAACAGAACCTGAATACAGAAAGGACAAAAAAAGATTCGGGTAAAATAAATGTATCCTTTAGTTACGTATTGTCGTTAATTGACAGTGTATTTAAAAATATTCAACGTATACATGGGAAATAGACAAGGAAGTGTCGAGTAAAAATGATTACTGGCTCAAGTCATAATTCAGATTCTTATCAGGCCGCGTTTTGTAGGTTCATAAGCGATTGTATGTGACCTTTATTTATGAATAAATAATAATATAGCCTTTAAATTCCGAAACTATGTTAATTTATATACCTTTATGAAATTTAATATATTTTCACTCCAGTATATCTCGGAGTTCGGTGTGCCTCTTGGAAAAGGCTTCCTCGAACCCTTTCCACTGTTCTCTATCTTTTGCGACTCTTCTCCAGTTGTAGCCTGCTGTTAGTTTCAGTTCGTCCTCCCATCTCTTGCGTGGACGGCCTCTTCTTCGTTTTCCGTCAATAGCGTACCATTCCGTTAATACTTTGCTCCATTTTTCATGGGAGCTCCGTAGCATATGACCCGTCAATCTCCATTTCATTTGGTCTATCTTCGTGAGAATGTCTGTCACACCTCTTCTAGCTCTTATGTCTGCGTTTATTTGTTTGTCTAATTTTCTTTTGCTCAGAATTCTTCTGAATAATAACAAATAAATCTCAGGGTCCTCTCTGTATCACAGTATCTGTTACCATAGATTAATATAGTGTAAATAGAGACTTGAAGTGTCGCTCGACGGCTCGTAGCCGCGTACGACATTAGTGTGTAGTGATGGGACACGGCTTCAGTTGGCTTGACGCGTGGTTCATCTGAGAGGGCACTTGATACTAAACGATCGTGAGATTCGCAGCAGTGTATATGGGTGTAAAAATCAAATTTAAATTCTATGTTAAGTGTAATTTATTTGCGAAAGTGCAATTTTATTTATAAATACACTATTGAAATTAAGATGTTTGCGTTATTGTAAATAATGTGTGACATGAGATTATGAGATTTATTTATTACCGAACTATTTAAAGACAAACGCATTGAGACAATATCGATAAAACGAAAGTTAATCGCTCGTAGCAACGCTACGCCGTAGCTTCGTAGTGTTTACTTTTGACTGTATTTAATAACGAAATTGGATTATATACAATTTTATTTACATAAATATTGTTACGATTGAGTTGACTAATTATTTTAAAATTGTTGTTGAATGTCGTAAATTTTATATAATGTAGAGAGAATAATTTTTATGTGTAAACTCGGCTTATCCTAACAAAGCCTTAGTGGAAATTGTAAAGTTAGTAGATATTAATTTTGTACTATGATATTTAATATCTAGTAGAAACAGGATTACCTTTTGTAAAAAATCCTTAAGTGTCTATACGAAAGCGAACAATCTTAATCAAATAATAATAAAAGCGTCTTTGTGTAATAGTTAATTATTCTGCAATCTCATAATCGTGATTTAGTTAGAAAATAAGTTTTAGCGACGCCGATTATCAAACCTCCGATACAATTGACTGGTCGTGCCAAATTTAAAATATATATTCCCCATTTTTAAAATACGATCACAGGTCAATGCTATAAACAGAGCAATAAAGAATATAATATAAAATGTATTATTGTAAATAGTCTTTAGTTTTATTATTTGTGGTATTTGTATTGAATAGATGTTTATGAAAAGCAAGTTCGCCTCTCACGTTGATCCCCGCGGTATGTTTGCGTTGCGGGGCCTTCAGCCCTAAGATTATATCAGTATTTCGAAAATTTGGTAAAAGTAGTAATACGTGTACGTAACGAGCACGCCGCCTGAATTGTAACGGGCGGCTGAAACAGACGGAATAAATAATACGATGTTACTAAGACTTTTATTTACGTTATATTTTTATTTAAGGACAATGCACATACAATTGTGTTATTAATATAGAAATCCCTTTATTGGTAAGATTACCGGTAAAGTTACCGGTAAACTCCGACTTATATTTGTTTGTTTTTTAATTCTAAGTGGCGTTTGTGGTAAGTTTAGGTTACGTTAGGTTATCAAGCCAAAAATGTGTACCTTATTTCATTCATTTCACAAATCATGATGTTTTAACTAATTTCATCATGCATGCACATCATTGCATGGTAGACTATTACCGAGTGATGAAGATATGTATATAAAAATTTGTGCTAAGGTGGAACCGTGATTCGAAAAATTTATTAGAATAAATTTTTCATAAAGAAACTATTAAATTTTATAAGATTAAATAAATGTTATTAGGACTAAATGTCCTTAACCTAAATTAAGGTTTTTGTACGTCAATATTACAAAAACATATTTATAATTGGCTAATTATACGACTTTGGCAGATTTGTTTCACAATTATAAAAAAACCTTTCATACTATTTGTGTTAATGTATTAAAAAAACAACCATAATCAAAAAGTTATTAAATACCGTAGAGCTGTTGCTCGCATCCTTTCGAGGGTCTTCAAGACACGACTATTTAATACGAGTGTTGGTACAATATTAAAACATTGGTGCATTTATATTAAGCAATCACAGAACCACAAGGAAATGTTAATATATTGTCCTTTATTTTCAGTCACTTTGTAATTACTTAGACATTTTGGCCATTTATGTGGCTTTAGTACAAAAACTTATTTATTTTGTAATAGGGGTAAATCTATTGAATTAAAACAGTAACTAATACGATGAGTATTCTCCAAAATAAATTTATTAGTTTGTAGTTTAATCCGCACAAAGTCACGAGAACAAGCAAGTGTTGAAACAGTGTTCACATCTTTTTATAATTGTCCTATGCATGAAGCAATCAATGTTACAATTATTCTAGTCCTAGGTTGAAAGTGTATCCACAGGATTAAAACCTTTCTCATTTCTCACAACAATTAATGTAGATAATAAGTAAATTAATGTAGTAATAGTACCCACCGGTACTATTACTACATACTACACCACAGAGCTGGCACTTTCCTGGCTCAAAGAATAAGTATCGCAATACAGCGAGGAAATGCTGCCAGCGTTAAAGGTACACAGGGACCAAACTTTTTAAAAATGGTTTTGATTTTCTTCTTTCTTCTTTAATTGTTTTTATTATTACTTTATAGGTTAAGAAAATTGTAAATACTGTATATTTTGTATAATATATATATATATATGAACAGAAAAAAAAAATGTAGATAATTGGTAGAATATTTTTTTGCGTAAACCATCTATTATTTAATTTATAACATATTTTAAAAGTTTAAAATTAAAATATATTGGTTAACATTAAAATTATCGTGATATACCTTAACTTTACCTTCTTAATATTAGTCCTAATTTTCTTACTTTCTCATTCCTTCTTTCTTCGTGGATCAACCAACATTGGATTAATAGACTATAATGCTTTTGGTGGTCAAAATTATATAATAATAATTCATTATTATTATTTTATAATAATTCATTATTATTATATAATTATGAATATGGTACAAACATCTTATGGTGGTACAATCTAAAGTTCACATATTCCGCCACACATAACTACAAAATTTGTCTTAAAAGGTAGAATAAAGTTACAATTTATATTTATTACATTATGAGTAGTAGTGATAAAATATCACATTATTAAAATATATTATTACGTTATCAAAGTTATATTAATTGTAATAGAATAATTAATAGAAAAAAAGAAAACTATAAGAAGCATGGTGCTGCGAAACACCTAGATGCCGAAACCGAAGTCATTTATGCTGGATTCTGTGGATAAGTTACCCAGTGAGAGAGATTTTCAGTGAGGCTTCAATTTTAAGTATTTAAATACATACATACTGTAGTGAGACTCTATAGTCACCAATGTTAAATCCCTCATTGGCATTTTGATACAGGTATGAAAATATTTTTTAATTAATAAATATGAAAAAATATTGCAATGTATTTTAAGTTTGTAAATCCAATTGCAATTCCCAAATTTTTAGCTAGCTATATTTAGTTAATTATAAATCGTAGGATTATACCAGTCATTAGATTCCTAATTGTAAAATAAAAATGTGTTTTATAGCATTAAACTACCGTATCCAAAAAAAAATATCAACCGTTTTGATTAAAATTATTAATGCATACATCACAGCGTAAGCACAATTTAACAGAAAATTACGCAAAAGTACTTAAAAAAAGTGCATTTAGGTTGAGATTTAATAATTAATTCTACAACACAGGCCTAAAAGTTGCTATCCTAAGCTTAAAGCTTTAGCTAAAATAGTGTGATTTTGATTTAGTTTTTATTAATATTAAATATAGGTACATCAACTACGTAGTTATATCTCTTTGAAAACATCAGCGTTTGATACTATGTTTCATGTCAGAGGTACGGATAATATTAATTAACAATTACTGTTCATATTACCCCAGTATTTAAGCGAGATGCCGAGAGCGCATTAATCAACTAACGATTTAATTAAGTATGGTGTACCTTTGTGAGCTTGGCCTAGAATATTATATACTACGAAAGGCTAGATATAAATAATTGGTTCATTTAATTTGCGAAAAGTTTTTTCATTATTATTGCGTCTATATTTTGTATAAAATTAAACATGTCAGGATTGAGATATTCCAAGCCTAGTTATATAGATAGTTGAAATTTTAATATACTATCAATTAAGTGATAATAACATATAATATGCAAACTAAAAGATTATAGAATATACTACCGGTGACCCCAGAGCTGGTGCTTTCCTCGCGTATCGTATAAAATTAGTAAGATAAATAAGTATCGCAATACAGCGTGAAAATGCTGCCAGCGATAAAGATACACTGCCACAGGGACCAAACTTTTTAAATTTGTTTTCTTTTTATTAATTTTTAAAGAAGATATTTAATTTTTTTTCTATCATTGCGTGATACTGTACACGTACTGCAGTCTTCTTAACGAGACGAGAAATAACTTAATTAACTTAGCGTGAAAATTTGAACTAAAAAATTCTCACATAATTTGTATTTTGGATGAAATGTGACATTTTTCCTCGTGAATTAAATCTCAATTAGGTATATATTATATCAACGATAGACGGCTTATATTACTATAACGTCGAATTTATTTAAATGACATAATGATTCAATTTATAAAAATTAAGTAGGAAATAAAATAAGATACATTTTAAAAGACTTTTAATAATTAAAAAATTTTAAAAAACTTACAAATGCTTAGACGATTTTAAACACTCTGTGATAGAGAGCCCTTTCGCTTGAAACCACCGAACCAAAGATCTACAGTTTTCTTATTTCCGAATAACCAGAAAAATATTGAAAAAGGACAATGATAAACTGCGACTACAGTTGCCAAAAAGAAGAAATTCGAGAAATCATATTCATCGACACTGAAAATATACATAACTGTATGTACATCTACTATTGTTTGCTGGACGCAAAAGGTAAATAATAGTGTCACCATGACGATTACAATTCGAAGGTTGTTCTCACTTTTTTTTATAATCCGGTGAATTATAGCCTTTAAAACCATAATCAATAAGACGCCATTTGAAATAAGCAAAGGCCATTTTATGAAAATCATGTATACAAATAGAAACTCACAATATCTCAATAAAGATAAATAAGATGTTACAAAGAATAAAATCGCAATGATCACTGGAGATACCCACGCAACGATAGATAATTTTAACATACACGTTTTGTCAACTGTAAATACTTTTACAAAACTTACATACATTTTCTTGGTGAAAATAAACATCCAAATAGTCAATGCCGCTTCCGTTGTTAATTGAAACATTAAATGATAGTTGATTTGCGAACTAATATGCATATCACAAAGTTTTAACACATCGTAAAGATACCTCGAGAATGTGTAAAAAAATCTTGCAATCATAAACTGTGTGAGGATCTGATTTTTGGGTCTTCGCCTCCATTCGACGAAGAAACAAGTCGTCGCTAATAGAAAAATCATGGCTACAGTTGAGCACACCATGCCAATTGTAATGGCTGAGAATCTTAGTATTGATGATGGAGTCCATACTGATGCTTCGAAGAGTTCAAAACATTCCGACGTAGACCACTGCATTGTCACATAAAATATTTTTGAAAATTGTGGCTTGGCTGATGTTTTCTTATGGAGCAATCTTGCATTTTTACTTGCAATGAAGCTTCTCAAAGCACTTTCACTATAGCTATGAATTATGAAAATAATTACCTACTTGATAAATATAATCTTTCGGCGATTAGATTGCTCTTGATGGAAATTAATTAAGGTCCTTCCGATAAGGATTATATTACAATATTACACTTTGTTATTGTTTTGATCCTTTAAATAATATTTTTGTATCTTAACCAAGAAAATATTTGAAATAATTTAACAGTGTATATATTTTTAGATGTTTTTCTTTGATCTTTAAAATGCTTTAAAAATTATGTGACAAAATATTCAATAGTTATCAATGTTTATCTTAAAAAGCCGGCATCGCATTTGAGAACCTTCTGGCAATGTATGTGTGCATGGGCCGCCTTATTAACTTAAATACATTTAAATTTATATATATAGTAAAAATTACATATTCTTTTTGAATTTATATTAAAAGGGATGAATAATACAAAATTAAGGAAACACAGAGATTTTATTACCAAGTATCAACGACAGGTCTAAAATAAACATTGTTTGTGCCGAATATTAATTATAAAAGTTCCATACAAATAGTCAACAAGGATAGGTTATCAAGACTTTCCTGTCAGGCCATAAGAACAATATTTTCGTGTTACGTATTTTATTGTTAAGAAAAAGCTTGGCTAACACTTCTCTCCACCGTCTATATATTTATATAGGAAACTATACTTAACTGTGTTTCAATAATTTCAATGTTATGTATAAAACGCAGTCAAGCATAAGCTTTTATCCCTTTATTAATTTTTCTGTCTTCCTTCCACCACGAATAAGTAGGTCATTAGAACGTTAGAATTTAAAGACTGCAGTATAGGATTTATATATATCCTAGACTGCATATCTAAAAGTAATTTTAAAAGTGATAAAACTTTTAAAATTTAATTTATTAATTTTAGCATTGATAAAATGATATTTAATATTAAATCCGGTCTACGCAGTGTTAAACTTTCATCTGCCACAAAAATATTGTTCTTAAAGTTAAAATAATACAGTAAGCATTTAACATCGTGAAGTTACAGTTTAACATGAAAATATTTTTCCAAAGAGATTTCCACTAATAGACCTATACGTGCATCTACTTACAAAATATTATTGCATTTTTTCTAGCAATAGTCACTACGCTACTTTAGGGTAAAGGAAAATTTATAATATTTGTAGAATTCAAATGAGTCAAAAACAGTTCGCAACCCATAAAAACATACAGATTTATATATTTGACTACTAGGTTTTAATCAGCAAATCTCAATTATACAATCCTAACTCAAAAATTATACAATTTTATTGTCTGTAAACAAAATATTTTGTTTAAACATTGACTGAACTAAAAATTAAATAATACAAAAAAACTCTTGGTATCTTAGATATATTAATTTGATCGCTATTATATTTACTATTGACAGTTTAATGATTTTAGAAGCTAAATGAACATTACAAATTAATATATGCATCACAAATAATTATGTGAAATCAAATAGACTTGAAGTGTTTTTTTCTAAAGTTTAAAAAGCCACAAAAAATTTTCTCTAAACGTGTAAAAGTTAAGTACTAGACCAAGAACTAGGTACCTAGTTTTAAATACTTATTTTAAGGATGTAGGCTCTTAAATAGAAGTCTTAACAAGGGATCACAGTTTGGAAAACTAGTTCAATTACAGGGTTCGAATCCCCATTAATGATACATCGGTGTAACATTTACTACAAATGAGAAACAAATCTGCAAAGCAAATTTCTAGCAATAAGTAACAATAACTCTTTACCAGGCGTGAATAGGTCGACATTAAAGAAGTATTTTTACGTTACGTTTGTGTTAATGTTTTGCCAGATTGATTGGTTTGTGTAAGTCAAGCAAGCTTAATGCTGCAAATGACTAATCAAAACTCAACAACCATACAAATTAAGCATTGCCTATTATATTGCAAGAGTTTATATTGAAGTGAAACTACTATTGCGACTTTCAACAAAGTTGCGTTAAACGTTTCACACTAGAAAGAGACAGAGCGAGTAGTATACCTGTCACAGGCCAGCGCGAGCGTTAGCAACGAGTAGCGGCCAATATTCCAACGCAAGAGAGAGAAAGAAAAATACACAAAGGTAGAAAGTAGGAGAGGGAAAGAGAGTCATTATCCCATTGTAAATGTTGTAGATTTGGATATTTCTCCACTCGAAAATGATAATTAAAAGATGCGATCAATTGTGAATTGTAAACAATGTTAATATAGTTTGTCTAAAAGAAACAATATGATTTCACTAAAAATCAATTTTTACCCCTTCCATTTTCATTTCCACATTACGAAGATTCACTTCTTCTTTTTTTTATGCACGCAATCCTCATCTGTAAGGCCGAAAATTAGCCCTGGGTGAGCACAAATAGATTTTTCGTTGTCTGTGAGCACAAGTAAAAAGCATATCAATTAAAAGACTGGCCAGACTGGACTGGAGGGTTGTATGTATTTTTTAATGTTGTATCATAAAAAAATTTTTTTTTTTTTTTTTATCTAAAATAAAAAAAAAATTTAGGGGTGGACCACCCTTAACATTTAGGGGGATGAAAAATAGGTGTTGTCCGATTCTCAGATATACTCAATATGCACACAAAATTTCATGAGAATCGGTCGAGCCGTTTCGGAGGAGTTTAACCACAAACACCGCGACACGAGAATTTTAGATATTAGAAGTAACAGAAATGTCTCGCATTAGTCGGACTGTCTTAGATATGTTTCGGTAATTTTTGACTATTATAATTGAAATCAACCTGTTCACGCCTGGAACGAATTTAAACAGCACATTGAAACAATAATTATGGAAAACTTTTCTTATTACGTTAAACATCGATTTTACCACTAAACAGTATGAAATACAGTGACTTCTATTAAGCAGGTCTACAATGGAATTTATTACCACCTGGAGAGGAGTTAGCTGAAGTACTAGAGTTAAGAAAGGAGATATAGAAACTTTTTGACAAAAAATAAAAAAAAAAAGTTTTGGACCAAATAAGTTTACCAACTATTGTCGTCCAATCAAAGTTGAATGGTTTTTTTCCATGTTTTTTCAGATTTCGCGTCGGTTCTCGTAGCATCCACACGCACTTTAAGTTGTTCTCGAACCGGTTCATATTGTTAGTGATGTGACACTGTCGATAAAATGGACAAATTCGTCACACGATCATCTTCAAATCCAGATCTGGCTAGTAATACCGCCAAAAGACCTGGGGATGATTTAAACCAGTGGAATTATCCAAAGAGGATTGCGGTTCCCAAGCGTATACCGAGAGACGCCACCACCTCAACAAGCAACCGCTACAGCAATCTCCCAGTGGATAAGAACCATGATATCTCAGAGCCTTTTAAAAAGGCCTCTAAAAAGAAGAAGACTGGACGTGTCCCACCAATCGTTATCGAACTACGTGAAGACTGGACACACCAGAACCTAAAGGACGTAATTGAGAAGTACAACAAAAGCTACCATCTTGAATACAAAGGTAGTAATCGAGTCAAAATACAATGTTACTCATCTGAGAGCCATCAACTCGTCAAAACTGGGCTCCTCAATGAAAATGTGTCATTTCATACGTTCACCAGGAAGGATGAAAAAATGCCTAAAGTGGTTGTCAAAGGTCTTCCAACGAACGTGATCGATTGCCTACCAGCGGAACTGGAGTCCCTTGGCTTTGCTGGCGCCACTGCCACCCAAGTTAAGCTGAGCAAGCCAGTTCAATGCCCCCCGGTAATAATACAACTTCCCACAGGGACTGATATGGCAAAGTTCAAGCAAATAAAGTACCTGGCTAACTGCGTTGTTGTGATCGAGCGCTACAAAACTAGTAGCAATAACTGCACCCAGTGCTACCGATGCCAGGGTTTCGGTCATGCTTCCCGAAACTGTAATAGACCCGCTAGATGTGTCAAATGCTCTCTGGAGCATCCAACTTCACAGTGCCCCAAAAAGGGCTTCATAGAAACTGTTCGTTGCTGCAATTGTGGGCAAGATCACGCAGCAAATTACTCGCTGTGCAAGGAGCGGGTTAAGTACCTTGAACGTATCAAGACCAAGAGAGATTCGTTTCGCAACGCCATCGTGAAATCAACCCACGCGGCTACGAAGCAAAGCGTGCCCCTCCAAATGTTTCCCGTTCAGGCAGCAGTGGCTCCAAAGTGCCATGATTCTCAACCATTGCCAACGCGTGTACCTCTAAGGACTGCCCCACCGAGTGAGGACCGCACAAACACCCGCCAAGACACGACGACGAGTGAAATGCTTCAAATTCTTTCAACTATCAAAACCCTCAAGAAGGACTTCATAAAATGTGATACTTTCATGGACAAAGTAATCTTAATTCTGTCTCACCTTGGTCACTATGTTTAACCTCAATGAACTACGTGTATTTTATTGGAATGCCGATGGTATTCACAAAAAGCAGCAGGAACTAGCTGAACTGGCGGTAAGAGATCTCAACGTTGACATCATCGCACTCAACGAAACTAGATTAACAAAGCGGCTTACCCTTCAAATTCCAGGCTTTTCCTGCTATCGACTCGATGGCCGTGCCGATGGCTCTGGTCAGGGTGTTGCTATCTTGGTTAGGGCTGATTTAGAACACTATCTTGTTTTAACCCCGCCAACCCTTAACTTAGAGGCCATAGGAATATCCCTTTATTTTAACCACGGCAAAATTACCATTTATTCCGCTTACCAGTCACCCAATATGCCCTTGCTCTCTAGTGACTTAAACGCCCTTTTTTCGTCAAATAATAAGATACTAATTATGGGTGATCTCAATGCTAGGCACCCCTATTGGTCACCTGGTCCAACTAACACCCATGGTAATACAATCTACGAGCTCATGCTCGACGATGAAATGATTGTCCATGCCCCTAGTGAGCCTACCCTAGTCCATTACAATGAAAACAG